AACTGAATTAAATTATTTTTTAAGATCTAATTCATTAGCAAATTACCCAAACAGATTTGACTCAAAACTCGATCATATTTTCAACAAAGACATTTTATATTCGGTTTATTCATATTCAGAAAAGAAACTGAATAGATTTTATTGCAAATAAAAGCACCCTTCTTTTCTGTGAATTCACATTAAAATCATGATTTTATTGTCATCAATCTTAAACATCATTTGTCTATTTAAAGAAGTGGGATTAAGGATACATTACTTCTATTTCAAACTAGACATCTCTTTACTATGCGTAAAATGTAAATAGTATAAACTCCCACTTTTAATGGACTATTATTATTATACCAATCAATCAATTTGATAACTTTTATTAACCATTCTGTATCACCATCATCATCATCATCATCATCATCATCATTATGACCAGTATTTATGTATTCTAACTACCATACCTATAAGGTGTGAGGATTTATTAATGTATAAGTGTCTGTATTTGTTAATATTTAGTGAAATAAGAAGGGGATAAACACTACTATTATAACAATCAAAGTCAAATGAACAAGTTTGAAATTCAACAGTCAATTAAGAACGGAAATACCTTCATCTTTCATTTCCTGTTCATCATACTATTCATATTGAATAGACACAGATACACTATTCAAATTATTCATTTATGTATTTTACTGGACAATAAAAAGGAATAAATAAAGATTTGCCCCTGGAAGTCATTCTACTTTAATGATAATAATAATAATAATAATAATAATAATAATAATAAAATAATTCTCTTAACCTCCAATATATTCAGGGTGGGATCAACAAAAGAGTGGGAAGAAAGAGGAAAAAACTATGATTAGCACTGCTAAAATGTCTGGTGTAAATTCTTCATATCATTCTTAGTTATCATGGCAACACAATTATTATTACCACTATTATTATTATTATTAACAATAGTATTGTTACTGCCAAGTGAATTTTCATCACCATTATCTTTATTTCTATTATCTCCCCTCCTTTTAATATATCAAAATATGTATTTAATGTCTCTATCGATATTGTTTTTATTATTAATTGTTTTTATATGATCAGTATTATCGATAAATGACTCATAATTAATACTAGTTACAATAGTAGATTGTGCCTCAATTGATTAGATTGGGAAAAAAACAATTAATATTAAACAGGTTTACTCAGTTAGATCATCATCACTGATCATTTATAGAGGAATAAACAACAGATGATGAGACAGTAACTATTATCATGACAAATGAAAATCACAGTTGAAATCATGAGTCAATTGAAGCTAGACCACCATCGAAAACCTGGAAGCACTGGAAGGCTTTCTCGTCCAGTTATGGGACTCCTCAGCAGCGCGCATCCGCGACCCAACACTCGCGCGATCCGAATCCAGGACCTACCAGTCTCGAGCTAGAGCCCTTAACCGATAGACCACTGAGCCGGCATCCAACGGTGTCAATGTCTAACTTCAACCAATCCACGATCGTGGATGCGCACTGCTGAGGAGTCCCATAATTGAATGAAAAGGCCGTCCAGTGCTTCCAGGTTTTCGATGGTGGTCTGGCTTCAATCGACTCATGATTTCAACTGTGAAAATACTAAATTCTCCACAAAACCTCCTCTGATCTAAAATGAAAATCAGTTAAGTAAACTGCAAAATTAACCTGTTGTTCGATTATTAATCAACTTTTCATTACTGACTGACAAATGATCAGCGTAGGTTTTATCTTGGCACAAAATGATCCAAATCAATTGAAAAGATGCTTTGAACCTGAGTTTCATTTTATTTAGCACTTATCAACATGGAACATTAGCAAACATTAGGAAATCAATGCTTCATATATAGTTTGAGTGTATGTGAGCCATCTTTACAAGCAGTGGTATTGCTGCTTAGCTTTACAGTCTATGAATTATCACCTATTAGTCTAAAGTACTTACATTATTTGGGCATTGGGAAGTAATTAATTTCACTGAATTCTATCAATTAAGGTGTACTGTGACGATTTGGCCTACTGAATAATTATTTCATTTCCCTTTTTTAGAGCTAAACAGTAAGAGACAACTAACCGGAAATATCCAAATGAAAGTTCTTTTTTCCTAGCTTGCAATCGTCAACAAGGACTCCAGTCTATTGTCTTTTATTATATAATATCATTCAAGTCTATAGAAACAATAAGTCACAGCCTGATGGCTACAACGCAGTCTGATCGATATATTTCGTTCAGTCTTAATAAATCGAAAGGATCACAACTGCTAAAATCTAAATGTTATTTTATCAGGCTGCACTATTTAACCATAATTATTATCGGTTTTAATCTAATAGACAGCTGCTACATGGTATAATGTGAGTTATTAATTTTCAATAGTGACAATGTTATACTTATTAAACTTTCCTATCTTATGAACACTAATTTAACAAGTCAAAATGCTGTAATGAGTCATATCTTCTGCGTAACACTTGGAATGATATCAGAAAACTTGCTAACGAATAACATGATGAATGATTTTCATTATTATAGAACATCTGAAAGCTGAGCAAAACAATGGAACATGTAACTTTTTAATTGAGTTCATGAACTGATCAATGTTAGACCAACAGTAAAAACCTGGAAGCCCTAGCCGTCCATTTCGTCCCAGTGTGATACACCTCAGCACGACCCTACACATGGGACTCGAACCCAGGACCCTCGGTCTCGCGTGCGAACCCGAACATCTTTCGTTATCAAAATACTCAATAATCTCAGTTAAGTACTAAGTAATAAAATCCGAATTCATATAAGTATATTTGAGTATTTAAAGAAAATACTAGGGAAAAACTAATCACTTGGAAAACTGAACTAGTCATAACTACATCTGTGTGAATAATTTCTACAATAAAATAAAGCCTTCACATTCGATCTAAGCTTCTTACTAAATTTTTAATTCATACCCTAACAATATATAATAAGACTAACTCTACTCTTTAAATGAGTTGTTATTCCATATCGTATCAGTGAATACTTACAAATAAATGTTGGTGTGAGAAAAACTATGACTTCTAAATGATTTATACAATATTTAAATAGAAAGTGAGATATGATATAGACAGTGCTTGACACTTATGTGTGTCATAAAATCATCTATGACTACAGACCCAACTAAATTTATACCATCAATCGGATGTAAGATAACATATCCTGGGTTTTGGCGCGAAATTCGTTCATCCATTGAGTTAAATAGTAATTTGACGTTTCAAATGATATCAGTTCGTGATAAAAACCCTAATTCTTATTCCTTATCCCAACCATCAACTATAAATCATAATCCCTATTATTCACATACGTTTATAACCACCATTTAGCCTTAGTGAGCAGGTGAATATTCTCAAGGTCACTTCAGTGTCTCTCAAAGGTCGTCCATAAATTATAGTCTCACCTAATTATCTTTGTAAACAATTATTGATCAAATATTCATTTAAAAATAATCTACTTTGAATCCTTAACAATATATATTATAATGTTGATTATACAACCGAACTCAAGATCTATGTTGTAATAAGCTCTTAATGTTCTGAGATAACATTAACTTAACAATCCGAATACTGAAAGTTTTAATAAGCAATCCATTAGGATCAAGTATTTAGACAACTTTCTCTTGATAAATCGGTAGATATCAAGTTTATGTGAATAAAATCGAAAGTTTTATTTATTCGAATTTATCACTTTTCTAAATAACTTGTTCTCTTTTATCTCATAGATGTACTAAATCACTTTTATATAGTTGAGATCATCAGTCAATTGAAGCTATACCATCATCGAAAACCTGGAAGCACTGGACGTCCGTTTCGTCCTATTGTGGGACTCCTCAGCAGTGCGTATCCACGATCCCGCCTGACGAGATTCGAACCCAGGACCTATCAGTGTAATATCTGATAACACCTAATAAACAATCTGAAAATAAGATCATTGGATGATTGTTTCTATTTTCTTATATTGTATATATTCTATATTCTATGACTGAAAGGTAACCTGTGAATTTTTATATCACGTAATAAACTCATTTTCTATATGACCTAATTTACAACAGTACAATCAGATCTATCAGATTTTATGTTCAACTATAGTACAGATACCAAAGGAGAAGAGAAAAACCAAAGAACACATTACGCCAAGAAATGGAGACAGACATGGGAAGAATGAACAAAAATTGAATAGAACTAGAAAGGAAGGCCCAGGACAGAATGGGTTGGAGAATGTTGTTCGGTGGCCTATACTCCATTGGAAGTAACAGGCGTAAGTAACTAAGTAAGTAAGTAAGTAATAGTACAAATATAGTTGTACAAATTTTCAAAGTGTTATAGAATACATTTAAAAGTGTTCCGTATTACTTCTAACGATAACTATGATTACTTTTAATGGATACCCTATTATCAAAACAAAACAGGTAAAACTTTATATTTCTTTTTTTTGAAAGAAGTAAAACATTATTGATACAATGATCAATTCTTATAAATGATGATTTTGTTCTTTACAAAATGATATGATTTGTCTTTCATTTATTTCATAGAATATCGGTATTAATATTAATGAATGAATGAATGAAGGAAGGAAGGAATACAATTCTAAAGTAATTAACCTTATAAAAACGAATTCTCTGGTTAATTTTTTATTATCAAGGTATGATTATCAAGGTAAAATTACTAAAAAATCTCCACAAACCCCCTTCTGTTACTAAGGTATATATCTTAAGTAAATAAGTCGATTGTTTTTTTCTGTGTTCAAGGACAAACTTACATAATAATTACATAATCGATCATTGTTGCGCATCCATTTTTAAAATATGCATAAATAGAAATTTGAAACGAGTATACCATGGTAACAAGACAATTGAAAATTAAGCGTGTTTTTTTCTTTTTTCAAAAAACAGGAAATTAGATAAACAAGTAATTGATTGAAAAAAAAATATTTATATTTTCTTTTATTGTTTTTTTTCTTTTTTTGTTTTTTAATATTTATCTACAAGAATGTTGTAAATAATTTAAATTTTGATTTACTGTATTTAATAAATGTTGTGATGAATGTAACATAGATGATTGTTTACGTTCTATTCCACTGTCTATATTTAAATTGTCATGTATTTGTTTTAATGAATTCCATGCATATTTTGTATAATCATTTATTTTGGATTTTTCTGATAAATCATTTATTATTTGACTTCCTAAAGGATTGTTTAACTTTGAATGATCAATATATTGTTGACATTCTTTTGAAGGTGTAAACTGTTTATTTTCTGTGAAAGAATAAGGATTTTGTATTGAGAATGTATTGACATTGATTCTTTTAGAAGATTCAGAAATTGAATGCTTTGAAAGTGTTTCATTCTCGAATTTCAAATTCTTTTGATTCTGATGAATAGACTCAATTAAGACATTATCTTCACCTTCATCTCTTTTAACTAACTCATCATCATCCTCATCATCATCATTGTCATCACCATTCCCATCACTATCTTCATCGTCATCTGATAATGATTTTTGGTCTTTGGAATTTGAATCGCTTAGAATTTCTTTACCATCTGTATGCAAACGTTTATATTTCGTTCGACGATTCTGAAACCATACTTTTACCTGTTGAAAAATATAGTAATATTTTACATTTTATCAAAAATTGAAGCTAAATATTTTGTAAACAGTATGTGATTAAACTTGCTTGTCAATAAGCATTTCGACATAGTGATGAAAACACATTGCAATATAACTTATATACTAATATAACATATTCCATGTTACGATTCTGACAACTATGACAACGAAAAATCACCTTATACCTTAGTTTTAATGAAGTCAATGATAGAAATGGGATTATTTCATGGTTTCCAGTAGGATATCATAATCACATTATTGTTTAACTTTATAAATGGCTCAAAGAACTACTCAGGTTTCGATCTTAAAGTGAACTTAAGTAGCTCTGGTGTGCTCAGGATTATTTTATAATAAACATCACTAAAATATTCATTTATTGGAATCGTGCATTAATCCAAGTTAAATAACTATCGGAAACTTGGAAGTAGACTGAAATATATTGGTTCATGATTTCAATGAAATTGAACAACCTCCACAACCTAGCACTGAGAATACAATTAGTTCTTGATGGTGAGTAATTGAATTTACTTCACGAAAAATTAATTTCTATCTTATTTCAACTGTTCTGCAATCTAATTAATGAATCTTCTCATGTTGTAATATAGTAATCACCATATCCTTTCCTTACATAAGATCTTTGTAACTGAACATGATCTTAATATTAGGCTTCAACCGGTGGACAAAATAAATTAGATAGAAATAATCTTAACACATAAATCCTTCATTAATGAACTCTCTTTACAGCATACCACGAACAACGGCTTATTTAACAAAATCTGACTTCAATTATAGAAATATGATAATTAGATTGGTACACAGTGACTAAATCATTATACAATAGTTCACATACAACTACAACAGATTTAGAATAGAATAAGGTTTTTATTTATTATCATCAATAAGTCACTATCTTACTTCCAACTTTATTTATTTAACAAATAGTGGCTTCTTGATGAATCGGTCCATCTTGAAGCTATTCATATTAGAATGTGATAAAAACTAGCTTTGAAATAAAAAGTCTACAAACTCACATACATGAGCATGAGTTAGTCAAAAAAGAATGATATAGAGTATTGAAGAAAGTAGAGAAAATCTTAATTATTGTTAAAAATTCCTGATCCAACCAAATGAACAAACTAGATGTTTAAATATTTCGAAAAGAGGTTAACATCTGGTATCACCTATAAGATTAATTTCATCGGTTATAAAATTAAAATTCAGTTAACTTTATAGTTGCAGTTAAAGGACTTTCGGATAACATAATTGATATCTCAACTTACTGTATTTCTGTATACAATCTCTATTTGAGAAGCTTGTACTGAGTTCAGAAATAAGCACTATCCGAATCAGTGTTGATTAAAATATGTTTGTAGAGTTGCATCTCTGAGATTATTTTTAATTGCAAGTCATTATTATGAATGGATCGATGTTAGACCACTAATGAAAAACCTGGAAGCACTGGGCGGCCGTTTCCTCCTAGTATGAAGCTCCCAAGCATTGCACATCCACAATCTTGCACGCTGAATTCAAACCCAGGACCTTTGGTCTGGCATTCAAATGCTTATCAAGTTAAACCTCTCAAAACCATTTTGTTCCATAATTTTATTTTATAAAAATTTAAAGTTATTTTCAACTTCACTTGGTATTGTTTGTTTGAATCTTCCCATTGATGTTTAGTACTACAGTTGATCAGTCTCTTCTTGGCATATGTACATACTGTGCGTATTGCCTCTATATAACCTTAATTCACAAGTAAATTTAAACTTCACCCCATTGCACAAGCAAGTGGCTATCAGGACTCAATAGACGAGTGAATAACACGATGACGTTTGAAGCGAACAGTACTAGGTTCAAGTCCCAGAATGAACATTAACTCTCAGATGCAGGTACATTTAGCTGACGAGTGCCAAATAGGACGAAACGCTAATCCTGAATTCCATTGCTAACCATTATCCATCTTTACTTATAAAGTTATTTTTGTTTTAATTTAAAACAAAATTAAAAATAGTTAAAGTTATTTTATATTGAATGTAATTCTTCAAGTAATAAATAACCATTAAACTTTTTTTTCATTTATTTCTTTAAATTAAAAAAAACAACAAAAAAAGCTAAACTATAAACTTGACCACAATATAACATTAAAATAAAATCTACTTTAACTTATTCCTCTAATCATTTTACTTTAAATAAAATATATCTGTTTATTTATTTGTTTTAATAAATCACAAATGAAGAAGAAATTACTATCAGCATATACATATATATATATATATACCATGATTATATGCAAATATCTTACATATCGTGTCCTGTACCTATCAAATTTAATCAACCGTAAAATTGTCAACATTCGTAACTATCCCTACCAACCTATTTATTCATATAAGGTTTATTATAGGTTTTTCTAACTATGTACACTTTCACCGTTTATCTCTATACATATACATATATCTGCATATATCATTGGGGTACTACTGAAAAAGAACATAATCAAGTGTATAATGATTATTACTTTTCATAAGGAACAACTTAAATTTACTACAATTTTGCGTGTATATAAACTTTATCATTATTATTATTATTATTATGATTAACATTTTCCTTCATAGAAAATAATATTTATATTATGCATTACTTTATTATCAAGATGTTTAATTAGTTAGAAATGGTCATTCACTTAGTTAGTTGGTTAGTCAGTGAATGAAAACTGTATTTTTAAGATACTTTGGCATATATATAGTTATAGTTATAAATAAACATATATATGGGTACTATGTTTGGTTGAAAGGTTGTATTGGAATAATAACAGCTCCACCTTCTTTAATCGAAGTTTATTTACATTTTCTTTATTAATATATACACAATTTTCTATGTACATTTTTGAAGAAATCAGTCACGCGACTGATTACAAGTTTTACTTTAGTTTATTTTATATTTTCTCAATATCTTTATTTATATATTCGCCTTTTTCAATGTCTGTAAAGTGTTATCAAGTTGACAATCGAATTAAGAATTAAACTCCTTTCTTATTCACCCAACCACTCCCCCTCTAGACTATATTACATTCATATTAAAATAAATTGTCCCCTTTTTGTAAAAAAAAAAAATAAGAAGAAATAAAATGAAAAAATTTATTCAAAGTGTAGAGAAGGATACTAATATTAGTAGTTAAAGTAATGTAATATAGATATATATATTCCTGAATAAACTTTATCATAAAAGTATATCTTGACATTTTGATTTTAAGTAGTCCATCTGTTTTTTGTAATGGAAAAGATAATATACTACTTTATAATGATTTCTATTAGTAATATATATATCTGGATTGATATTATGCGAATGGTTAACTTTAAAACAATAAATATCAGATCAAATTTAACGATCAGTTTGATTTATTCTTTTCTAATAAATAAATAAAATGGTTCATTAATGATCAGATTTTTATAATTTTATTAACCATTAAGATCATTTAGCGGGTTAGTTCTATTAGCATACAATAATACTAGTTCCAATAATTTAGTAGAAAGTACGTTAAATTAGTAATCAAAATGTTTTTTTTTCTTATCTTATGCCAAAAATGTTTATTCCCTTGATTTATTGAATATCGAACTGAGTGTATTACCATTGCATATAAAATAATAATAATGATATCACTTCGGTTAGTTTAAAAGTAATGTTACATCCATGATATTTATAGTTTCAATGAAAATGATTAGATTTTGTTAATACTTCTTGTTCCATGAAGTTCTTCAATACGCCAACTAATTTCAAGGAATTTCCTGCTTGTCTTCACTTTTTTTCTAATGTATTAGCCGGATATCAAATGAAGTTACCAATATTTAAGTAACTATTAACCTCATAATAATAAATTGTATTTTGCATATGGTATTTTCGTTAATCAGTTACTTCAGTTTAATCAGTTTCTATGACACAGTTTATATATACTTTATATAACAAAGTTGAAAGGCAATACATTTTAGAAAAATCATGTCTCACGTTGTTTAATACCGATACACTTTATGTGTAAAAGTTTTATGAAAAAGTATCACTTATAACTAAACAAATGCTTCCAGAAAAATATTATTGAAGCTGAATCCAAGCATCTGATAAGTTAACACCCTAAAAAAAGTCTTCGGAGATAAATATTTCAAATGAAACTACATTCGTACATCAGTTCATTTGAATATTCCTAGACAGTTAATAATTCAGAAATTTCTTCATTTTTTTAACTTCAACATTATTTGACGGTAAAATAGTTCATGCCTGGTTAACTTTTATTTAGTTCTTGTAATTTTGGTTTATCATATGTGCTTAGAATTCGTCGCTCATTTTTAATAGTATTCATTTCTTCTAAGCCATCAGTTTCTATATCCAGAATTGACTTTTTGTCTTTTTGGCTAAGTTACTTTATTATTAGTCTACAAAATCACAAATACCAATAGGCTGATTAGTTCAATTAGTTCATGTTAATAACGAACTGAACCTCTATCTGATTATATAATTAGAATTCGCAGGTTAATTAATGAGAAGCTAATAACATACATTTCATTATTTGTCAACATCGTCGAGGAACTACACTGGAAACTGTTAGAAAATGTTTGCTCTACAAATAATTTACTGTTATAAAGTTTTTGTCGTGTCAATGTGATTACATGTAACTCATAAGCATTTCTGCGGTGAATACCAACAGAAATATCAAGTCAATCAGTTTATACAAAACGGAGTTATCTTCAATTAAATAAGCACTGAAATCCAAACAATATGATATCGATTAATCTATTGACATAGATTGTAGATATGATAACTCGAATTCTTTCATTCCATTTGTGGTTGCAACACAGGTTTTCACTTAGTGTTAATAATCATTCTCCTGAAAAATCAAATTTTCAATAATGTAATTTATAGAATTTAACTTATTTACACTAGGTAATGCCATTTACTGTTAACTCGTTTTAGAATAAGAAGGCTACTATGTTATTAAAAGCTATTGATCTCTAATTTCAGTCATCTTGTTTGTCACTCATGAGTTCTTCGAAAATTTTCTTGATATTAGGAGGAAGAAGAACTTGGTTCAGTCAGAATAATAGGACAAAATGCATCCCCATTACTTTAAACAACAGATGTTCTGCTAACTTTAAATAATCATATGACTGACTAAAGTTTAAAACGCACATTATTCTATTTCCATTTATCAGTTTAAATGTTTTGCGCACATCACCAGATCTGAATGCAGTGTGCTGTCATCAGCACATTAGCTGCAAGGTATCAAACCAGACAGAAACGGATTCTTCAGCTAACATCAGTTTCCGGAACAAAATACACTCAAAATCATTATAAAAGCTCATACAAAACCAACCTGATTACTACTATATATTTATTTAAGAACGATCGTAATCAATGATACTAGATCCTTTTAAACTTATCTTCAAAATTACTATTATAGATCAGCACTCGAAAGTTCCTTAATAATCCTACTTTAGTATTAATTATCTTGTACATTTACATTAAGAATGGAATAATTCCCAAATGCTTATTCTATTCTTTTACAATGAATTCAAAAATTCACATAGTTCAATATATCAGTTATAACTAAGACATTCATTGAAATGGTTAACAAATTATTAAATAATTTTTTCAAAGAAAAAAACACTCACTTGAGTTTCAGTTAGATTTAAATCAGTAGCTAAATCTTTACGTTCTTGTCCTACAACATAATGATTTTTTTCAAATGCACTTTCTAATTGAAATAGTTGAGCTGGTGAAAAAGCTGTACGTATTCGTTTTGGTTTCCTACTATCAGATGTAATCAAAACGTTACGACCCATTGAATTTTTAATAAAATTATCTAGGTAATGAAAAAGAAAAAAACAATATACATTTTCATTAATACTTATTTAAGTCTATATGTGTAATGATGCAATATTAACTGACAACGAAAGTAATTTGAAATAAAGGTTCTCTTTTTTGCTGTCGATAATATATACAAACATTAAATGAGATTGTACATGTTTTTGTAGTTTTATTCATGACATAATGTGGCAAACTTTTATTTTACATAAACCAATGTAGTTACTGGCAAAATCATATAGAATTCGTCCAGTTTTATAGAAATAAAGTAACTATCATTCCAAGATCGTAACGATTCTCATTCTTCTAAGGAAGTTATATATATATATATATATAATTCAACTGAGAAACGTGAAATAGAATTAAGGCTATATCGAGGCAATACGTACAGTATGCATATACGCCAATAAAAGACTGATCAGCTGCGGTCCTAAACATCGATGAGAAGATTCAAACAAGCAATACTAAATGAACGTGAAGTAGAATGTTCGATCTTAAGACTTTGTTTGTGTAGAGCACGATAATATTCCATTATTGAGAAGAAGTCCATTGAATCGAGCTTTTAACTTCATTCTGTTTGTAATCAAATGTATCCCTTTTTTGGTATTATTGATGTGTTACTGATTTATTTACTTATTCCATCTCAAAGATCATGTCTCTCAATTTCGTAAGTTTCACTGGTATTGTAATAAATAATATGTCAGCTCCCTTGTCTCAGCTGCAATAAAAGTAACACATCAGTCATACTTTCACAAATTTATTATGAGTTAAGCCGTTACAAAAAACCGAGGGTTGTTTCGTCTATGTAAGTCAAAATAATAAGTGTATTAAGATGAGAAATATTTTTCTCACTGCTGTATTCCATTACTGTTTAGAAACAATGTTTCCAAAGTATTTTGTAGATTTTGTTGTTTTATTGTTCATTTCATAATATACATCTGATCATCACGTACTAGTTAACGTGCTATTCATTCCTTAGTATTGAGATCTAGACATAAGTATTGGTAAATTCCATTTTAAATGAGAAGAAAACTCTTTAGCATCATTCTATGACAACTTTTCAGTATACTGTTAATTATGATCGGTACAATTTGTTTACATCCTTTATCATAAAAGTATTATATTTAAAGTAAAACATATCATGAACTTCCTATATTGTTAATCCTTAAAAGAATTATAAAAAATTAATATTATCATTCTAAAATTTCTAACAATTCTGGTTTTTCTATAATTGAAATCATGAATCAATTGAAGCTAGAACATCATGAAAAACCTGGAAGCACTGGATGGCCGTTTCGTTCTATTGTAGGACTCGTCAGTAGTGCACATCGACCAATAAAATTTGAAATATCACCAAAATGTCTTTTTAAATTTCATCATTCAATCCACCATAACTTCCAGATATTAAATATTCAAGGATGAATGATTTAAAATCGAAATACAAACACTCATGTAGAGGTCAAAGATGAATAAAATGACTTTATCTACTATCATTATAATATATATATATAAGTAGAATAGAGAATAGAAAAGAAGGTAAAAAAGGACGAAGAGAATCTACATATAGTATAATATACGATATCTGATGATCTAATTTATTTATTTATTCTGATTAATTTGACTTTATAACGAGTTAAGTTAGTTCTGTTTAAATTATAGAAGATAATACTCGATAAGATAAACTGATAAATTAAAAGAAAAGGGGAAAAACCTTTATTAGTTCAGTTAAATTAATATGCCATATGGTTAGAACAAATTATTCTTTAAGACAATTGTCAAGAAATCAGATATCTAATTCATAGAAAACAAACAAATTGATATATATGCTATCATTATTATTGTTAGTAGTATTAGTAGTAGTATGAGTAGTAGTGGTAGTAGTATCAATGTCACGTATTATGTTTAACCTTTTAGTTAAATTGAACTTATTTAGAAATTTATCTTTAGTTATAGGAAGGGCATCATTATATCTACTTTTCTAATAAAAAAATAATAATGAAGAAGAAGAAGAAGAAAATGAAGATAATGATGAACTTTATGTATATTTTGAAATGATTAATGTTTTTTTAGAATGTTTAAAGTTCTCTATAGTGTCGAGTCTAACCTCATCATTCTTCATCAGCTTCCTCTCTCTCTTTCTCTCCTAGACACACACATACAAATAATGTTTGTTAAAACTCAATTTACCAGAATTATAAAAAGGAACACATGAAATTTCAATTCATGTACTTGCCTTAGCTGACTTGTTACTTGAAAAGTATTAGATAGGAATAATCACAAAGTAGTGAAAACATTTAATATATATATACATATATATATATATAAACGCAATAAAAAATAAAATTTTCTGGTCAGCTTTTCACCCTAATATACTACTTATATACTTTCCGTGACCGTGTACGGTAGTTTATATTGTCGATTATTGTTTTAGTAGGTTAATATAAATCTTATTCATTTCGGAAGGCCTATTCGTTTATGGATTGATGATAGATGTGCAACTTGATCTAATCAAGAAAAATATATTATTATCATGGAGAAGAAATACGTGGAAATAGAGAATTAGTTAGTAATACTGATCTAATGCTATTTGTAATTTATACTACCCTTCTACTATTCGAAATAGATGGCGTGTTGTACGCGAAAAAAATCATACTCGTTCATTTATTTCACAGATAATATGCTGTAGAAGTTCAGGATAACTTTCTAATTGAAATCATGAGTTAATTGAAGCTAGACCACCATGGAAAACTTAAAGGCACTGGATAACCATTTTGTCCTAGTGTGGGACTCCTTAGCACTGCGCATCCATGATCCCGCCTGGCCAGATTCCAACCCAGGACCTATCGGTCTCGCGGGCAACACCTAACCTCTAGACCACTGAGCTGGCGTCCAGTGATGTTAATGTCTAATTTCAACCAATCCACGAGCTTGAGTTATCGTTCAACATTGTCTTCAGTGAGTTACTATCTAACAACAGACCTGGTTGAATTCCACTGGCCACTGCTTCTCACTAGAACTTCAGGAAATATCTCTTCAAGCCAGTCACTAGTGTTAACTTCTAATAACAGAAATTTGTATAGTCATCACAAAATTTCGAAATATTTCCTTAAATATATTTGATGTATAAACATAGAAAACTATTTAAGATAAAAGGACAGTAACAATTATACAAAAGGAAGAATGACGATTGATAAACAATCATTTATAACCAGGATGAAAAATCAAACAAACGTGAGTAGACTATTCAGTTTATAAAAAATAAATCCACAGTTTGTTAATATCTAAAATTTTTGTTTAATAAATATAAAAAAATGAAGAATTTTCAAATACCCCCTCATATATTCTACCAGTCATCATCAAATCAATGTGTATTCGACTAACCAAGTTCATTTACATATTTGACGTAACTACTTTGTATCTTCTTCCTTTTCATCACATCAAAAACATACTTTATGACTATTTTTCCCGTTCTTGAGTTAAATGTTATCTACGGATGAAGTATCTTATACTTTCTGAAACAATTTGAATACTAAAATTAATCAAATAAGAAAGTTGAGTTTTTCAACCACATATTAAAACAACCTGAAGTTAAATATTATCATTTAGAACAGCTACAAATCAAATTATGAATAATTAAGGATAGTTAAATTCACTTGATATTGTTTGCTTTAATCTCTGCATTGATGTTTTTAAGACTGAAATTGATCAGTCTCTTATTGACATATGTGCATCCTGTGTGGATTGCCTCGATATTGCCTTAATTCATAAGCATTATCAGCAAAAATGGATGGTGGCTAGCAGTGAAATCCAGCACGCGTGTTTCATCCTATTTAGGACTCGTCAGCTGGATGTACCTGCATCTCAGACATGTTGATGTTCACTCTGGGACTCGAACCCAGTACTGTTCACTTCAAACGCCATAGCGTTATCCTTTGCTACTATCCATCTTTTCTTATTAAGGATAGTTGCTTGACGTAGTTTAAAACAGAAACTACTATACAGTCAGATTAAAAATAGGATATACATTTTTTTGCTGTTTTTATTCAGCATAATTAAAGTTATAGAAAATTATTTTCTCAATCAAACTTAAGCTTTAAATATTTTGTATTTGATTTAACAAAAAATGAAGACGTTTTTATTTGAATCAATAGCTTAGCAAATTATATTTTTAAGTCAGTTTTTTATTCCAGGATGAATTTCTGTTAAATAAACTCCCTCAGAAATCTACCACAAGCCTAATTATAATGTTACTGATAATCATTAATTATTAACAAAAATGTTAAGTTTGAACAAGCAATTGTTTCAATATTTAAAAAAAAATTAGAAATGTTACATACCAGTGGAGTTTAACTGGGTCTGTTGTGAGATATCAACTCACTGAAGACAATTGTAGATGGTCGCTCAATTTCGTGGATTGGTTGAAGTTAGATATTAACACCATTGGACGCAAACTCTCATGCAAGACCGATAGGCTCAGGGTTCGAATCTGTCGAGGCGGGATCGTGGATGCGCACTGTCAAGGAGTCGCACAATAAGACAAAACAGCCATCCAGTGCTTACAGGTTTTTCATGGTGGTCTAATTTCAATTGACTCATGAATTCATCTATAATATTATTTTAAACTCGTGTAAATGTAAAATGTCATTCGTTTCATTATTGAGCATTAGCTCAAGGCCTAATCTAAATTAGGAAGCATTTGAAGATTGCCTTATTTTATTTATGAACTCCCTCTTAGTGAAAAGTAACGTCATATGTAACTGGACTCGGAAGCATCCACTTATTTAAGATATCCAGCAAACCAAATGAATAAAATTTAGTGCGGATAGTTATTGAATATATAGAATAGAGAGTTAAAATATCATTTTAAAAGATCCCCTAAGCTTCTGTTGAAGTTAATGAGACAAAGGAACCTCTTTTTAAAATTCATTAATTATTAATAGTGAAATTTATTTCCTCGTTAAAAAGAAAAATTGACAGTGAACAGAGTTTTACCACGTTTTAACACAAAATCAATTCACTATGTTCAGTACAGAAAATGTGTTAAACGACTAATTAATATGAAAAAAAAATATTCATATCATATCTCTCCTAGTCGATAGATTTGTGATATCAAAATTAAAATTCTAAATGAGAAATCAGTAAAACTTTTGTCCAGATTAATTAAACATCTGAAACTAATGCACTACAAAACATTTTTCCATAGCCTATTAAGCCCATAACTATTTGGAATATTACAATGTTTAAAGTGTTTATTTATATTTAAAGTTCTGTAGGAGTAAGCACAGTAACAAATAAAGAAGCATGCTAGTTGGTTAAACTGGATTACTCAATGTTTAGACTTAGTGAATATTGATCAGCTCATTGTGACCATGTTCTTCTTTTTTAGATCTACGTATATTCGTCAACCTATTAAGTTTTTATTTATTTTAATGCATAAGAGTCAGATAATGATATAAAATTAATGTCAAGTCATATGATGTCTAAATGATGAGGACTAATTAATAATCATACCCATCCTAGATACTACATTTTAAAAGAATTTACCAAATTTTCAATAGGAAGCCGTGACGACAAAAGTAGAACAAACAGTGAAAGAGACATTTACCGGCGAAATTGGATAAGAATTATATTATGTCGCAAAATAAACCCATTGTGCTATGTTCACCATAAAATCTCAAATGTTCTATGTAAGTCTGATTCTATCTAAAGTGGTGGTTGTGTACTACATAGAATTCCCAAATCGAATTAATACTACGTTTAATTATTTCAGAAGTTTGAGATTACAAAAGAACTGTTTATCTGAGATACTTTGTTTGATAAGCTGAAAAACGTTTTGATGGATCCCTAAGCCTAAATTCCTATTTCAAACTATTCAAAATTCATAAACTAGATGAATTAATTGGTAATTCATTTTCTCATAGTTGAAAGCGTGAGTCAATTGAAGCTAGACCACCATGGAAAACCTGGAAACACTGAATGGCCGTTTCGTCCTATTATTGGACTCCTCAGCAGTGCGCATCCACGAACCCGCTCTCGCGAGATTCAAACCCAGGACCTATCAGTCTCGAGCCGAAGCCCTTAACCAATAGACCACTGAGCTGGCATCCAACGGTGTTAATGTCTAACTTCAACTGATCCACGAAGTTGAGCAACCATTCACCAATTGTCTTCAGTGAGTTCCTATCTCACAATAGACATGGTTTTTGAACTCTACTGGTCACTGCTTCTCACTAGAGCTCCTAGATATACTTCTCAAAGTCACTAGTGAGCATATGATTATATTAATTATCAGAAGGGGTTTTGTGGAGAAAGCGTGAGTCAATTTCCAGGTTTCCAGGTTTTCCATGGTGGTCTAGTTTCAATTGACTCACGCTTTCAACTATGATAAATACTAAATCTCCACAAAACCCCTTCTGATAATTAATTTTCTCTCTTATGTAATGATCCTAATAAATACAATGATTTTAACTGTTTATATTACCTTCTGGAAACAATCTTCTTTAGGTCATAGGTAATCAAAAGATGTATTTTTTGTATTTAACAAATTTAACACTCAACGCAATAAGAAATTTGACTAAAAGATAACTTTTAATACATGCTTCTAGAAATCTAAATACTTCTACTATATCTTTTACACCAATTGAACTACACAATCAAACCTGTGCAGTTTTTTTTATTCTGTTTAAATTCAACAGAAAACACTTAATGTTAAAGAATTTCGATTAAGGTCATAAATCGACTAATGTTAGGCCAGCATTGAAAACCTGGAAGCACTGGACGGCCATTTCGTCCTAGTATGGGACTCCTCAACAGTACCCATCCAGGATCCTGTACTTGGGATTCCGACCTAGAACCTTCAGACTCGCGAAAGAACGCCTAACCCTTAAACCAGTGAACTGGTATCCGATAGTGTTAATGTCTAACTCCAAGCAATCCACGATTATAAGGAATTTCAATTCATTAGGAACTATGAATAATTTTATTACTTTATTATGATCAATATATTTTCCGAAGTCTAATGCACAAATAAATTAACGATATTACTAATAGTCAAATTAAATTGCCAGTTTCTCAATTTTTTTAAGATGACTGTGATTTTTGCACATAGTGACATACACACACAATGTAACAATTTAAGACATAAAACATCTTCATATAGAAAACTAAAAGATTATTGAGAAGAAATGACATATAGTTACTTTCACAAGTTTAAATAGAACATAACAACAATAAGGTCAACAGAATACAATGGATTCATTACCTTCCACTGACTTCTACTCATCTACATAGTAGTTATGATGTTAGGCAATAACTGTTTAATAATCATTTATTTTTTCTCCAAGAAATTTATGAATTCATAGATTATTGATTAAATAAAATGAAATGACATTAGTTTTGTGTTGTTATGGATTAGATAATTGAAGTTAGATAAGTTTCTTCTAAATTATCCTTACAACTTATTCATAATGTAAATAATAAATGGAATGTGAATGAACTCTTACATTTAGATAGAAAACAAAAGGAATGATCTAATTTTTCTTTTATTTATTTGCTTACAGGCATATTTATTACTTTTCTTTTTATATCATCAATTAGTATTTATGAACAGTTTGACTCTTTTTATAAACAGTTTCTTTTAACAACTGATTGACAATGTTTCCCATTCATTTCTATTGGTTATCAATCCTAAACCTAAAAAAACCTAGAAAATGATGGGAACATAAGTGAAACAAAGCATGAATTATATTTTACAATGGTATCCATTTAATAAAAACTTTATTTGTTTAACTATTTTTAAATATATTAAATTTATTTATTGTTACCTATTATTTTATAGATCATGGATAACGATGATGATGTGGATAAGGATGACCTTGGCAACAATTTAAATGACATATTTACCTGACAAGTTTATTCACAAACATATGAACCCATAAAATGACAAAAAATTAGCAAAATTAAATTATATTTTACATTTATCATTGAACAAAACCTCACACACATATGATAGTTTTAATACTCTAGAAAAACAACTTGTGAACTGTAAAAAAAAAATATCCCATTGTATAAATGTATCTTGAAGCGATTTCTTTATTAAACAAAATATCCAAGTAATGATTGACTTAAAAAGACATTTTACGTGTACATTAATTTACTAGTTGACCAACTAATGATTTATCTTCTGTATAATAAAATACTTAAAGTTCCATTTTACATGAAGAAGATTAATCTGGAAAGTAACTTCAATAGGGAAATACAATGATGTATCTTAAGATATTTCAGTAATATCTACTGAAATTTACAAATTTATATTAGAGTAGATAATGACGTTTTTGATATTTGCTGTCCTACCGAAACCTTCTTTTTAAGTTTTGATCGACTTACATCTCCACAACTAAAACGACTACGGAGGGTAAAAGAAAGGATGTACAAGGAGAAAAATACTACTGAAGTTCGTAAGTTAAATGGTCAAATAAACCAAGAGATTAGACGTCTCAACTCTGTGTTTACTCAAAAACTCCTATCTTGTAAAAGCTCTCCAAGTATGTGGAAACTCCTTAAAGAAATTATATGGAACAGGAAGACTAAAAGCGACAACCAGCTAAATGTTTTTGACTTAAATAAGTCCTTTATACGTCAGTCATCTGACATCATGCTCCCTATATCCAAGGGTCTGAAGAATAATTGTGTCCCCAGTTTCACTGAAAATGATGTCCAAAAATGTCTCCAGTCTCTGAATTCATCCCAATGTTTAGGACCTGATGGTATCCCAAACCTCCTTTTAAAAAATTTGCTGATGTTTTATGTTATCCATTAACGAATATCTTTAACAGGTTCTTTTCAACTAATGTCTTACCGAAAATGTGGAGAAAGATAAAGATAATCCCTACACCAAAGAAATTTTCTGGTGATAAAAATGTGAAACTTAGACCCATTGCAATAACTTCACCTTTCCTCAAAATAATGGAAAAATTACTGATACAACCACTTCAACCTGCAATAAAAGAGCACTGTGATCCATATCACTTTGCTTACAAATGCAAAAGAAACACATTAGATGCCGTTGCTGTTCTGCATCACAATATAGTGTTCGGGTTGGAAAAGGGTAAGAAGTATGTTAGATGCGCTTTTCTGGACTTTACTTCTGCTTTTGATTCCATTCCAAGACACCTCTTACTTAACAAGCTGATCAGCGTCGATACTGACAGCTGGATAACCAATCGGCTATGTTCCTACCTTTATGGAAGAGAACAGTACACTGTCTTTGAAGGAAAGTGTTCAACATCTCTACTGTCTACTGTAGGTGTGCCACAAGGAGCTGTTCTTTCACCTCTGCTCTTCTCTTTTTTTCTGCATGATCTGCCATCTTCCACAGAAAACACTTTTGTAAAATATGCGGACGACCTCACCGTATGTATGCCAATTTCTACCTCCTTACATCCTATAGAAATGAATGAGTTTTTATCTCGTATTGAAAGGTGGTCTGTTGGTAATGGTCTCTTACTCAATCCATCTAAATGTCAAGCTGTTACTTGACGAACAGGCTGTTAGAGTTGACCTAGTAAATAACCTGTATTCTTAAGCATGTCTCAAATTCGATAATTTGTATAAACTCAGTTTTTTCTTAAATCTTTTTTTATTTCTGTTCTGTTTTTTTATTTTGTTTTTTTTTTGGTAAAAAGCTTGTTGAAATAACTCGTGCTGAGAATTCTATATTGTACCAGATTATAATATTGAATAAAGGCATTAATAATAATAATTCAAGGGATTTTTGGTGGAGGGTAGAGAAATTACAAACCTTTTTATAATCTTGTTAAACATAACCAGTCCTAAAATTATATATTAACTGAAACAAAGTACACTATTTATTAACTCACCATAATTAGTTAATGATATATTTGAATGATCAAGTTTAGCTATTTCATTTAAATCTTGAAAAACATTTTGTCCACAATTATTATCTAACATAAAACGTGATTTCAAAAAGTTCTCTATCAAACGATTCCGGTTTACTGCTGTTAGTTGTGAATTCAATTCAGTTGATTGTTGATGACGTAACTGTTGTTGTTGTTGTTTTTGCTGAGGTTGCTGTTGTTCAAGATAATTTTGATGATGTAGATAATTTAAATAAGGTTGATACAAAGAAGTAGATGAAGCTGGAGAATTTAATTCTTCGAGTTGTTCTTTATTTAAAATAGTATTCATCATTAAGGACATCATGTATGATGAATTAAATGGTACAATGGTTTCAGGATATGAATTCATTGACATAATAAGATTATTTTGCCCAAGTGAATTTTGGGTTGGATTTGGTAAGATATTATTAAGAAAAAGTTGATCATTAAAATTATTGTCTACAGAATTTAAATTTGTTAAATTTATATTGCTTGAAATGGATTTATGTGGACTGGTTATTTCGAATAAGTTGTGTAATTTTAATAATATTTGTAACTGTTCTTCTGTATTAGACCCAAAAGAAGAAGAATTTGTAATAGAGGATAAAGCAGACGATGATGAAATTACAGTTGGTAATAAAGTAGAATCATTCGAGAGGATTTTCTGAGATGATCCTGAAAATATTGATGCATCTGAATTTGTTTCATTTATTGACTGAATGATCATTTCCTCCTTTAGTAAATTGTGAACAGAATTAAATGATTGTGCAGATATAGTTGGAGATGATTCAGAAATTATATCAGTATTATTATTAGTATTACCAATATTACTGTCATTATTTACATTTAACTTTATCTGTGAAGTAGATTGTAGTGAATTCAATGTAATTTCTGAATCCGAAACCAAATTCTTACTACTTTCAAATCGACTTTTCTTAATAGTATCATTCCTTGTTGAATTAATTCTATGCATTAAATTTTTATCTTCTTCGAATGAATTCAATGGAACAATCATAACTGACGGATCATTATTATTATTATTTATAATGTTAGCATTGATAAGTTGAAAACTATTCTTTTCATCGATATTCCTCTTCATTGTTTCTTTAGTGAATAAGTTTTCTTCAGTTGAATTCAATGATTCTAATGTTGGTTTTATTAAATCGGCTACTGAAAATCCGGACATAATTTTCTTATTAACCTGAATACTAATTATAATAATAAATAATTTCAAAGTGAATTTATATTCTACTATCTAATCCACTAAGAATGGATATATATATACCAACTATAGCATATTCTTAAATTAGTCTTTCCTTACTACAATGATACTTTTCGTCTCTTTTTTTGTATTAATCATTTGGGATGAAATTCTTACTAGATTAAATACATTCATAAATAAGTTGTTTTCCTATTGGTTAATTACTATGGTTAAATAGTCGCGTATTTGGCTTCTACATCAATATTTAATTTCATCCAATTTAATACCCTTTTTTTATAATATAATTTCAGTTATGTGTATTAATTTGTTTTCTCCCCATATTAGTTGTCATCACCACCACCACCACCATATTATCTTCCTCCACCTTTTTATCATCACCATCACACATATCAGAATTGTATTCACCTGTGAAATATTTCATACCCATTTATATTTATAGTTGGAATGAATGTAAAGGGAATTTGTTGGTTTGTTAATATATTTGTTTGTCAGTATTGAAGTATTTTTATTTTATATCGTTTTATTTTTTAATACCGGAAACAAACATGGTTTGCTTAAGAGAAACTAGTGAGAATACTAACTAACATCAATATTATTAATGATAATTATAAAAAACGTGAGATTCAACTAACAGATTTCTCTTTATCGGAATTATTGTCTAGCTGTACAAACGTATTTGTGTATAACAGGTAATAAAGACTATTTCTGTGAGGAATTATAAACAGTAAATAAACATGATATTGTAGTTCAAGGATTTAAATACTAGATTGTAAAGATAAACTCATCTTAACTTCCCTCATTTATTGTTTTAATGGGAATCATGAATTTGTTGGACAAACGATCATTCAGTAAATCAAAATTTACCTTAAATTATACAAGTGTTCCCATTAAGCATCCAATTAAATAATAATTCACTTGACATTGTTTGTTTGAATATTCTCATTGATGTTTAGGACTGCAATTGATCAGTCTTTTATTGGAATATGTGCATCTTGTGAGGATTGCCTCGATATTACCTTAATTCACAAGCATTATGAGCAAAAATGAATGGTGGCTAGCGGTGAAATCCAGGACGCGTGTTTCATCCTATTTAGAACTCATCAGCTGGATGAACCTGCATCCCAGGGTTGATATTCACTCCATACATATCACAATATAACTCCCCCCACAGGGCATACGTCGGCGGAGGTACGCCCGACGTAAACGCCAAGTGATTTAGAGGGAAGAAAACTATTAAAAACACAACGAAGGGAAGCTTCAATAAACGCCATGAAAAATTATTTTTATATGTATATACACTTACGAACGAAAATGTTTTTGTGGTTAAAAAAATGTCGTGTTTATAATTTTGTAATGTATATAGAAAATTTCACGAAAATAATTGAACATATACTAAGAACTGTAGTGTTATTAAATTGATAGTTTACCGAAAAGAAAAAATCGAATATCTGTATATATCATGTAAACGATTAGTAATAAGATGAACAAGTACAATGAAGTTGAATATCGTTACACACTTAATAATGAACATCATACACGTATAATTAAAAATATGTTATTAGCAACTCCTAGCAAATAGATATTTATTCGCATTATAGAATATGACCGAAGGAAGATTAAGTAATGAATTCGACATAACGTTTAGGAATATGTACTTTTCTTCCTGTACGAGTTGGTTTTGAAATAGGTAAAGTGGTGGAGTTAGGAACCAAATTTATGGGAGCTGTAACATTTGCATCACACATTATATGAAGTGTCGATTTCGCAGAAGTAGGTGAAGAATTATCTGGAAATGTAGGAAGCTGTGCTGTGCAATTGGTGTTTTCTTTAAACGGCTTTCGGCTGTCATGTGTTTCAGACTCTATAAAAGCGGGTTTTATCCTGTCAATTTAAACTGTTTCTTATTTTTCCATTCTTCTTGATTGCGAAATATTTTGCTTGCCTCTCTACTACTTCATAAGGGTATTGTAAAGGACGTCTTATTGGGTCAACACGAGCAAACACAAATTTACATGTATCTGGGTGCTTGCTAATTTTCTCTTTCAAGAAAACTGGTCGAGGTGCAACAGACCCTATGCTATTCATGTGACTCATTAGTCTTTCACAAAAGGAAGAGGAGTCTGTACATACAGATGTGCCCTTATGCGTTACTAGTTGACCAGGCAAGGTTCAATTAGTTCCATAAACGAGCTGCGCAGGTGCCCACTGGAGGTCTTCCTTAATTGTGGAGCGCATGCTTAATAATATGAGAGATAGGAATTCACTCCTCCTAGTAACATCAGGCTGTACCATCATTGAGCATTTCAGTTGTCTGTGGAATCATTCCACTAGTCCATTTGCTGCTGGATAGTATGCAGCTGTAATGACGTGATGGATTCTCAAAATGTGCGTAAATTCATTGAAGAGGTGCGATTGGAATTGTGAACCTCTGTCGGAAGTAACAGGAGAAGGTACACCGAAATTAGAAATCCGTCTACCAAGAAACACGGCAATATTTTCTGCTGAGATGTCTTTTATTAGGTATGCAATTGACTATCTGGTAAAATGGTCCACTGCAGTAAAGATGAAAGTAAATCCGTTAGGGGGGCTAAAGTACCAACTAAATCAAAATGAACATGCTGAAAACGATGGTCGGATAGGCTGAATGTTGACGGTGTTGTGATTGTATGTCAGTGAACTTTGCTACGCTGGCATTATAAACAATTTCTGGTCCATTCCTTTATATTTGAGTTCGTTTTTGGCCAGGCAAATCTTTCTGCGATCAGTCTCACGATAGCCCGGATTCCTGGGGGAGATAATGAATGAATACAATCAAAAGCTTTTTCCTGTACACTATTGGCACGAAAGGTCTGTGTATTCCAGTCGAAGTATCACGAATTATAGTAGAGTCAGAATGTGATATCGGAACACATTTTAACACTAGACTCGGATTTCGTTTATAAGCAGCAAGGTCAGAATTGTCACCCTGTAAGTGTGCAACGTTCAGTAAATCAATTCCTTTAGTGGAAAAATAGCATCAACATTGTGACGTGATAAGGTATCTGCCACAACATTTGACTCACCTTTTATTAACTGTATGTTGGTCGAAAATTGAGAAATGTAATCTAGTTGTCGAATTTCTCCAGGAGGATAACGATCACTTTTAGCATTAAAAGGCATAAGTCAAGGGCTTGTGATCAGTGATTATCACAAAATTTCTACCTTGCCGTAAGTGTTTAAAATGTTTAACTGCTAAGTAAATAGCCAATAATTCTCCACCAAAAGTGCTGTATCGGGTTTGGGTCGGTTCTAGTTTCTTTGAGAAGAAAGCAAATGGATTGATTTCATTATTTACTAGCTGTTGTAGTACCGCAACTACTTCTGCCTGAGAAGCGTCTGTACACAGAATTAGTGTTGCTTCCGCGTCAGAACTTACGTAGGTCAGCATGGTAGTAAAAGCAATTGCTGTTTTAGCTGCAGAAAAGACACCTTTCGCTTCGGAGGATAATATGAAATTTTTGACTTTGCCTTTTAACACCTCTGTTAAGGGTCGTAGAATGTCTGAGCAGTGTGGAATAAACCGTTGATAAAAATTAATCATCCTGTAGTATTTATATAAACCAATGATTCCTTTGTATTGACCACTGCTTGATTTTGAATTCCAGATACAATACATTCGTTCGTGCTCATCTAATACTCCTTGACTAAATTACGTTGTTTCTGAGGGTACTAGTTTATACTATAATTCAAATACTCTTAAACATCACATTGGCGTCGTGATGGGGCCTGTGATAGAACAGTTGAACATTCATTCAACTTCCGAAAATTCTGAGGATTATTTTGAAAGGTTTGAGATATGGAGCATGACCAAGAAATATGTGAAGAGTGATGGGATTGTGGCACATTTTCTTACATTCATCGGTAAAGAAACCTACAGTGTACTAAAAACTTTGGTATATCCTAAAAGGCCTATCGTACTCCCTTATACAACTCTCAAAGACCTACTATTAAATCATGTGAAGTGCACCAGTTTTGAATGTCGTGAGAGAGCAAAATTTCATAAGATGATTCGTCAGGATAACCAGAAGGTTAAGGACTTCATCCTTGAATTGCAAAGACAAGCTTCGAAATGCAATTTCGGTGATCAACTTCATGTACAGCTGAGAGATCGATTAATTGCTGGAATTAACATACCAGGTCTCGAAAAGGAGCTTTTAAGAATGCCGAACTGTTCTTTTCAAGATGCTAGAACTGCATGTATTAACTACGAAGCAGTGAATGAACTTGATATTCAATCGATGAAAATTTCTAATACTTTGCTTAGTCGTCATGATGAAATACAATCTCAGGGTCGATCAAATTTGCGTTCGTTTAATCGTGATCCCTATTCTCGTGGAAATATGAAAGGTGACTCAACTAGGAACTGCAAAGCAAACAACAAAGGTGAGAAAAAGTTTGGTAAATGCTTATTCTGTGGCAAATTTTATCCTCGTAATTCATGTGCATTTCGTAATGCAAAATGGACACATTCAGTCAGTATGCAAAACTACTGTTCACTTTGCTTCAAGTATTAGTAAGTCTTGTAATTTGAATCCAAATAACTCGGTTGTTCTTAATGATCATTTATCTTTATCCACCATTTCGAAAGGTAATGTTCATATTCAAAACCGATTATATACATCCCTTGATTAATTTCATGACTTTATTGTGGAGACAAGTAGTATAGAGTCCATTATTTCACTCAAGAACCTGAAATCTTTAGAACTTAATTTTGCGGTAAGACCCACTGAAGTCTCAATGTTGGGGATTACTGGACACAGACTGCCCATACGATGATGTTGTGAAGTACTGATAAGAGATGATTATCCTTTATATATACCTTGTGAATTTCTAATTAGTGAAACAAGACTGTCAATATTGGGTTTAAAAAATTTGAAAACGCCTAAAGTGGAATCGTCTTCGCTAGTTTCTACAGAGAATTCTGA